TTTTTGTCCACCCCATATTAGAGAGAAAACACAACTCCTTCCCTCACTCTTCTTTTGGAATCTATGTGGTGTAGGCTTAATGTTTTATTTGAGAAGATTTTTCTTCCATGAACTCATTCCCACTTTGCTGAACTCTAGTTGGCCACTAGAACATATCTGTGAAGTTGCAGATCAGTGTGCTGGCTATTCTGCATACTTGATCTGAACTCTTCGCCAACTTACCACAGGATGAAAGTCTTAATGCTCCAACTTCATGACCTCTGGACTCACCTACTTTCTCATTCATTACACATGAAATATTTTCTCTAGTCTGGTCTCTTTCATGTCTCCCAAATTCATCTTGTACTTTCTTGCCTATGCTTTTTCTCCTAGCACATTCTTTCTCCTACAACTTCCTATGAACCTACCTAAATCCTTTCCTAACTATCTTTTCACAATCCCACCTACATGGGTAAGATACCACAAGTCTAGAAATTCCTGGTTTTATGTATTACTTGTATTTATATTTGTGTTTGGAATCAAATATAAAACTCAACTTCTTCTCTTGATCCTAATGTCATGTCAGTTTTCTTTTAACATCTCCTGGTCTGCGTCCTCGTTGCCACTTCTACAGGCTTATGCTCTTTTCTGGGCCTTCATCTGCATTCACTCAGATAACCACATTAAATGTTTTCCCTCTCCCCAAAAGGCAGTTTTGAGAAGGTTAAAGAATTCTGTATTAAGTATATATAGGTCCTTGTTCTACTTCTACAATAGAAACCTCGACTCCTTTGGAGCTTAATTTTCTGTTATGTAAAGTAAGGATTTATTGTATTAAATAATTTCTAAGGTGATTCCCAGTCTTGAAATTATAAAATTCCATAAGTACCTAGCAATTAGACATATTTGATTTAGAATCATGTACTTATTGAACTATTTAACATATCCCTTATAGGAGTTGAAAAAAATATTTAAAGTATGTAATTGCTTACCTGTTTAATAAACATAATTACATTTTTACATATTTTTTTAAATTTAGGTAAAAAATGTGAATGTTACTTAAGTTTGTAATAAGTTTTATCTTAGGGGAAACTCTACAAATATTGTAAAACCATTAACTGAGAACATAGTCAGATTTCAAAATTAATTTGTAGTTGCTACTCTAATGAAAGTACATGCATCCATTAACATTTTAAAATAAGTAATGAAATCATATGACCAGAGAAATTCTATTGTTATAGTTTTAACCTGTAAGACAAACTTGAAGCAGAATTAAGGTATAGTATGCAAGGTTTGAGCAAAGATTGCTACACAAAGAAATAAATACAAAATCTGATTCAGCAGAAAGAGCAAAAGAGTCAGACAGGAGGACAGATCACAGTACTGGCTATGCCACAAATTGGGCAAGTTACTTAATCTCCAATAAATGTTGATAAATAGATAAACAAATGAATCTCTCTGGTCCTTGGTTTCATCATTTATTTAAAAATTAGATTGGACTTACTGCCCTCTACAGTTTTTTAAAGCTAAATGTTTTATGACCTAAAATTTTATCTGGTGAAGTATAAACTATTCCAAGCATAACCATGTAGTTACGTATTGGGACACTCTACAAAACCAGCTTTCAGTAATTGGTGAATGTTCCACTAATCCATATGTGCTTTCAGAGATAGTTTCAAACTGTTAATCCTACCATTGATTTTGATGGCAATTACATGCCTGCTCTTGACAATACAAGGCTTTGCAAGGCATTCATCTTTATGATTGGACACTATAATATGAACAACTATTAATGCACACTGTGTGCATTTATACTGCTACAAAGTATTCCATGGTGTAAATGCACCACTAGTATTCTCTTTTAGATGACTGCTGATCCGTTTATCAGGGTACATTGACCTTTCCAGAAACATATAACTTATTGATGCTGACAATCCTATCTTTTGGAGGCTTGCACTTGTTCCTTAAGCTTAAGTCTCGTTTGTCTCTTTGTTTGTATATTTATTTACTTTAAATATTTAAAGTATTTCATGTTTCTACTTTTTCCCCCATTGGACTCCCAACCCCAATACCCCCCATCAGGCCTTTACCACCCTTGTGTCTGTGTCCATGGGTTATGCATATATGCATACAAAATCTTTGGTAGATTACCTTCCACCCACCTACCCTCCCTGCTTTCCCTCCAAGATTCTTCACTCTGTTCCATCTTCCATGACTATGAATCTATTTTGGTCATCAGTTTATTTTGTTCATTAGTTTCCACATATGAGTAAGATCATGTGATACTTGTTTTTCTCTGACTTATTTCACTTTCATGATACTCTCCAGGTCCCTCCATGCTGTCACAAGGGGTAAGAGATTCTTCATTTTTACTGCTACAAAGTATTCCATGGTGTAAATGTACCACAACTTTTTTATCCATTCATCTGCTGATGGGCTCTTGGGCTGTTTCCAATTTACTATTGTAAATTGTGCTACTATGAACACAGGGATGCATATATTTTTTCTGATTAATGTTTCAGGTTTCTTAGAACTTATTTCTAGAAGTGTGATCCCTGGGTCAAATGGAAGTTCCATTTAAAATTTTTTGAGATAACTCCATACTGTTTTCCATAATGACTGCACTAGTCTGCATTCCCACCAACACATCCTCCACATCTTCACCAGCACTTTTCATTTGTGGATTTGTTGATGGTAGCCATTCTGACAGGTGTGAGGTGATACCTCATTGTCATTTTAATTTTCATCTGTCTGATGATCAATGACTTTGAGCATTTTTTCATGTCTCTTGGCCATCTGTATGTCCACTCTGGAGAAGTGTCTTTTTGGATCCTCTGACCATTTTAAATTAGATTGTTTGTCTTCCTTTGATTAAGTTATATGAGGTCCTTATATATATTTTAGATATAGACCCTTTATCAGATGTATCATTGCCAAATATGTTCTTCCATACACTGGGCTCCCTTTTTGTTTTACTGGTTTCTTTTGCTGTCCAGATCTTTATTTTGAGGTAGTTTTATTTTAACTTACTTATTTTTCTCCTTAGTTTCCTTTACCTTAGCAGGTGTATTTGTAAACATACTGCCACAGAGATGTCTGAGATTTTGCTGCCTATGCTTTTTTCTAAGACTTTTACGGTTTCAGGATTTACATTTAAGTCTTTTATCCATTTTGAGTTTACTCTTGTGTGTGGTGTAAGTTGGTGGTCTAGTTTCATTTTATTTTTTTGCATGTATCTGTCCAATTTTTTAAACACCATTTATTGAAGAGACTGTCTTCACTCCATTGTATGCTTTTTCCTCCTTTGTCAAATATTAATAGAGCATAATGGCTTGGGTTCTCTATTCTGTCCCATTGTTCTAGAGCAGTGGTCGGCAAACTCATTAGTAACAGAGCCAAATATCAACAGTACAATGATTGAAATTTCTTTTGAGAGCCATATTTTTTAAACTCACACTTCTTTTATCACCACTTCTTCAAAATAGACTCACCCAGGCTGTGTTATTTTGTGGAAGAGCTACACTTAAGGGGCCAAAGAGCCGCAGTTTGCCAAAGAAACTACAAGGAGGCTCTAATTAAAATGTAAGCTCCATAACAAGTATTTTTACCTTTTTTGCTGAATATAAGAGTGGATAAAGTAAAATATTCAATATAATATTCCTAATTTCACTGATTTTTAACATGCATTTTTTCATATTTGTACAGCTCTAAAATCAGAATATTATATATTAAATGATATCTTAGAATCCATGCCAACCTGGTAATGGTTGTGATATAGTTGTATTTAATGGACATTCAAAGACAGCATGGACACTTGCAAAAGGGAATATTGGTGACCCAAAATAAATCCTGACTCAAAATAAATCCAAAATAAATAAACTCTTGGGAACCAAAGATGTGGGATGGCCGTAGAGTAATTAATCCAACTTAAAACATTCCTAAATCAGGAGTCAAAAATTGGCTAAACAGGACTATAAAGCCAGCTTAAGCTTTTTAAACCCAAGTATCAATGACTTATTAGTTATTTTATTACTTTAGGAAATGCTACATCAACACTTTTCATGTGACTGAAGACAAAATGGCATAGAAAAAACAGACTTTGATAACTGGGTAGAAAAGCAAATCTAGACTCAGATTCTGAATGTGAAGATGTTTTAGATATGCCTTAGCCAATTAAGTTTGCTTATAATTTTCATGTTTTGTGTATATACCAGAGTGATTGTTCATAAAAATCTATTCAACCTAAAAGCTTGTTTTCAATAAATATGAAGTAAAAATTCTGGATGAAATACAGTCTCGTGTGATTCTTCTGTTACTCTGTGGATCTCCTTTCTAAAGGTGGATATGAATACTCAACCTTTGTTGTTAACACCTCAGGAATAAATTTAAGATACTTTGTTTGAACACTTTACCCCTAGGGGGAGCTCAAAGCACATCTTCCTTTATTCCACCCCAGGGAAGTGCTGATGAGATAATGCAAAGGGCACATTAGTGAGCCACAGTGCTAGATTACTTCTTCCTAACTAAATGGTAAAAAGATCAAAGTTCTTGCCATCTACAGGAAAGTTCTTGTGTATTCTTTTAGTCTCTTCTCCCATAGAGAATGCAAAAAACATCTGCCTCCTATCTTGGGGAGACTATTGAGAAAATAAATTAAAAACTCAGGATATAGAGAAGGGGAAACGTGGCATGGGGCAGACAGCCTAAATCCAGCTAAGGGTAGCTCTTCATGGAGCTTTGAAACCAAAGCCTGCAGCACTAAAAAAAAAGAATATGTGTCTAGTATGTGCTTAAGAATCTACAGGGTGGTGGCAATAGGCTCTGGTATAGCAAATGTAGGATTGGAATCCTATCTATAGACTACTTACTTACAAATACACCTAGTTTAACATGCTTTTAGAGATTGCCACCTTAGTAAATTTAAAACTTAACAAGTGATAAGTAACAATATACTACTTTTAGGTTGAGAATAAAGGCCTGTTTTATATATAGACAAAATAGGAAATAGGAAATTGTTTTACCTGGAATGATCCAAGAATATCCTTTAAAGGCTCTTCATAAAACTCATCTCTTCCAAAGAAAAGCAGCAACTCAAAGAAACTCCTAGGAAGAATAAATGAATGTTAACTTTCATTGCTTCTTTGACTTTTGCCCCAATTTAAAAATATCTCAAAAGATAATAGCTATGTAATCAGATATCTAGTTTTAAATAGTTGGTTTTGAAAAATAATATAGGTCATTTAGGATTCATTTTATGTTTGCAGTAAAAGTTTAATATAAGTATCTTCAAGGAAAATACAAAGAAATACACTGAAATTCTAGAACTACAGAATGAACTCATGCCTGCTAGTGTTCACACTGCAAAAAATGCAACCGGATACCAGGTGGTAAAATGTAACTATACATGTGAAGATTATCTAAAATGAGCACATATTCCTATACAATGGGCAGCAGAAAAAATTCAGAAGTTAACTTTTTTCAGAAGGATATAAGGGATGGATAGAAATAAAAACATGAATTTTTCAACCAGCATTTATATTATATCAATAGCAGTATCACCAATTATGTATCAAATTAATGACACATGGACCCTCAAACTCCAGGCTTCTGTTATCATTATCCTACCCATGAAAGATTGTCCAAAATCATTTCAAATAAATTATTTTGAAAATAGTTATGAAATAGTTTACCTGCCTTCAGTAATTCATTAGCTCATGCCAAAGAAATATGACTTATTTCTTAATCATGAGCATGGAAAACTATAAAATTATAATATATTATTTAGCAATCCTAAATGAAAAATCCCACAAACTTTTTTAAAAATATATATATATATATATTTTATTTCGGAGAGGAAGGGAGAGATAGAAACATCAATGATGAGAGAGAATCATTGATCAGCTACCTCCTGCACTGTGCCTACTGGCTATTGAGCCCACAATCCAGGCATATGCCCTGACTGGGAATCAAACTGTGACCTCTAGGTTCATAGGTCGACACTCACCACTAACCCATGCCAGCAGCTGGGCACTCCCACAAAGTTTTTAAATTTTGTCATGGCCTTCATTTTGAAGTCTATTTTGTCAGATATGAGTATTGCTACCCCAGCTTTTTTCTTTTCCATCCTTTCATTCTCATCCTGTGTATGTCTTTTGTTCTGAGATGGGTCTCTTGACAGCTTATAATTGGATTATGTTTTTGTATGCATTCAGCTACCCTTGCCTTTTGATTAGAGCATGTAATCCATTTACATGTACAGTTATTATTGTAAGGTATTTATTTGCAATTTTAATTCTGTATGCCTATTTCTCTATTCCTCTCATTACAGCAGTCCCTTTAGCATTTATTGCAGTGCTGGTCTGGTGATGATAAACTCCTTTAGCCTTTTTTGTTGGGAAGTTCTTTATTTTAACATCTATTTTGAATGATAGCCTTGCTAGATATAATAATCTTGGTTTCAAGTTCTTGCTTTCCATTACCTTGAATACTTCATGCCATTCCCTTCTGGCTTGTAGAATTTCTAATGAGCTCCTTTGTAAGTAACAAATTGCTTTTCTCTTGCTGCCTTTAAGATTCTCTCTTTGGCAGAAACCAGTTTGGCTCAGTGGTAGAGCATTGGTCTGCGGAATGAAAGGTCCCAGGTTCGATTCCGGTCAAGGGCATGTACGTTGGTTGTGGGCACATCCCCAATAGGGGGTGTGCAAAAGGCAACTGGTCTATGTTTCTCTCTCATCGACGTTTCTATCTCTCTATCTCTCTCCCTTCCTCTCTGTAAAAAATCAATAAAATATATTAAGAAAAAAAAAAAAAGATTCTCTCTTTGTCTTTAATTGTTCGCACTTTAATTATGATGCATCTGGGCATGGGCCCGTTTGGTTTCTTCTTGCTTGGTACTCTCTGTGCCTCCTGAACGTGTGTGACTTTTTCCTTCACCCCATTAGGAAAATTTTCTGTCATTATATCTTCAAACATGTTCTCCATTCCTTGCTCACTTTCTTCCCCTTATGGCACACCTATTATGTAAATATTTTTATGTTTCATATTGTTCCATAGTTCCCTTAAACTGTCCTCCTGTTTTTTAAATTGTTCCCCCCCTCCCAATCTGGTTGAGTTATTTTTTTTAATTTTTATTTTATCCTGTCATCTATTTAATTCACTGATCTGATCCTTGGCTTCTCCTAATCTGCTCTATATTTTTTCCACTGTGTTCTTGATTAGTGCTATGTCATTCTTCATAAGATACTATATCTTTTCTCATGCTGTTGAGCATATTTGCTATCCTTATTCTGTATTCTATATCTCTTAAACTTCTCCATTTCATTTATCTCTTTTTCTGGAGAATTCTCTTGATCTTTCATTTCAAATTTGTTTGTTTTTGTCTCCCCATCTTGGCTGCCTGTTTGTTTTTTTAATCAATCTTTATTGTTCATATTATTACAAAGGTTCCTCATTTCTTCCCCCCTCCACCAGGTTCCCACCCCACCCTCCGCCCCCTCCCCAACCCCCATTGTCTTCATCCTTCGGTGTGCACAGTTTATGTTCAGTCTCTTCCCGCATCTACCACTCCCCCTTTCCCAGAGAACAGTCAGTTCACTCCCCTCCCATATCGCCCACTCTACTACAATCAACAGCTAATATTATTCATCAGGTTTTTCAATCTCCTTTTTTGTTGTTGTTTTTTTTTTTAATTAATAAACTTTTACACTTCTAAGAATAAATTTTAAAATCTAATAATTTTAAACCTTGTTTTTTTTTTCTGCCCTGGGAATTGAGAAGCAAACTTGTTTACATGTAAACTTGCCCTTAGGCTATCAATAGGTGTAGCCATTCAAGTGTAAATGGACACATTGTTTAAAGATAGCTGCTGGTTGGGATTGGATTACATGTTCTGGGTGGGAAGAGCTTGTCTTCCCCTTTCTCCATTAAAATTAAGGTGTTAGCTTTAAAACCTCTTTTTGGCAAGAGACCTTAAACTTTCAGAACTTTAAATTTTGTAGATAGTAGATCAGTTACTTAGCATTTTCTCAAATCAATAATACCTCCATATGCCCAAGGATACACTTCACACAAAAGACATTTCCAAATAGATCAACCAACCTCATCCAGGCCCCACATAAGGCACTCACAGATCAACAACCCAGAGCTATACTAACTCAACACATCCAGATCTAAGCCTTCATCACTTGATTCAGCAGACCCTCAAGTTCCCCCAAAAGTTTCCAGCCATGTCTGAGAGGCAGCCTTGGGGCCGGGTCAGGCGAGGAGCGAGCTGTTCCAGGCCTGGCTGCTCTGGGCCTGGCCTCTTTTTTGGCTGCCTGTTTGTATTTGTGCCTGTCTATTAAGTAAATCTGCTATGAGTCCCCATCTCTCATGCAGGACAATGTCAGATGCAGTTTGTGACTAGAGCTATGAGCAATCCAAAGCTTGTAGCTCTCTCTGCTGTGGTTGGATGCCTTTGAAAAGGACCAAAATGTGCACCAGGGACTGCTTTTCCCAGTCCCTGGCCCAGAAGGGGATCAAGCAGAAAACAAAATCTTTAAATTTTATGTCATGTAAAAGATAAAGTTTTATCTTTATAAAGTTTCCCTTTTATCAAAATTAATCACTAATAAAGATCAAAATTTTTAAATACAAACATAACCATGAGACTGTCTCGTTTTAAAAATTAGGAGACTTAAGCCTTACACAATACAATAACCATTGAAAAGATAGCATAGCAACTATTATACCTTATTAACAAATAATTTTATCAATTTGACTACTTGAAAATTTTAAATGCCAACAGAACAAAAAGTGTAAAAGCAGTCAAAAGCAAAGTGATACACCAAGAAAGAATTTTTGCTGATTTCCTTAATTAAAAAGCATATACAAATAATTTTTTTTTAAAAAAAGTCAACAACCAGTAGAAAACTAGGAGGGTAGAAGGACTAACTTCATGGAAAACAAATGCAGGTAGATTTTTTCAAATATAAAAAGATGTTCTAATTTACTCATAATTAAATAAGTAAAATTTTATGAAGATGAAACACCGTTTTCCTTCATATTTATTAAAATGATCAGTCTATCATGGCTTTGTTATTTTAGTAGAGGGCAACACAGTAATAGTCATCAATATTTTAAATGCACATATACCACTTAATTTTGCAACTCTTCTTGTAGGAATTAATCCTCCAAGTATATATGCATAAGCTCAAAGATGTATATATAACAGTATACACCTACAGATGATTTGTAGTAGCAAAAGATTGAAAATATTTTAAATGTCTACCCCAGGGGACTGGGTAAATTAATTACAATACACCTCTACAACGAAATATAATGAAAATATTAATGAAATATATTAGTGAAAAGATACTTATATCTACATAAAGAGATAAGGAAAAAAACTGCTAAGCAAAGATGCAGAAATTCATTACATTATCATTTGTATAAAGGAAGGGAGGGAGCAAAGGGCACATGTACATCCAGGGCATTATTGACAGACCAAAGGAAATGCAACAAGTTGATTTTTAAAAAAAAAAAGGAAGTTTCCCCTACATAGGAGAAACTAGAAGTCAGGGATAAAAAGGAGAATTATGTTTTAATAATAACCCTTTGTAATTATTTATTTTACTATCAGTAAGTATGAAAAGAAAAACCCATTAATATGTCTCTGGAATTTTCTACATCCCTTTTAAAACAGCATTACATTCACATCTATCTCATCTTTAAACTTCTAATAGGCCTTCCTCATTCCAGGCTTGCTATTCCAACCTTACCTAAAACCTGTCTGCCACTGTTATCTTCCTAAAATAATTATCAGACTACTTTCAGACTTTAGAAACTACTGTTCGGATTGTACATCTAAAGCAAAGACCTTTAGTTGACACACTTGTTTTGTTTGGATGAAATGTTATTCATCTCTCTAAAGTTTAGAGTCTAAACAAATAAATGGTTGATTCTTCTGCACCAAAATTTGCATATCTCTATTATAACATGTTGAAACATGGAGGTGTTAAATTTGCACTAATTATTATATTTTTAATTAAAGGGAGAGTTACAGAAAGTATTAGTAGAAATGTGCTGTGATAATAAAGTTAGAGATCAGTATGCAGACCAACATG